CCAAGTCCACTTTCTGATGCTGGGAATCATGACAACTGCTATGACAGACGACTTCGGACTAGGTGGGTTCTACATAGTCGCCCTGACAACAAGACCAAGTTGCGACAACGAGGTGAACCCAGTTCGATACTGTCTCTTATTGGGCAGAACTGGAGCGAGAGGCGGTTGCAAACGCGCTTAAGTCAGATTCATCTGCTCTGCCAACATGCGTCAACTTTAAGGAGTATTAAAGGGGTTATCATAAAGAGAGTAGCCCTTCTCCAATCGAAAGTAGCCTCGCTATTGCAAATGAAAATTAGGTCTATTCCTCTTCATCCTACAGGGCAGCGGCAGCAGCAATAGCAACAACAGCTGTTACTTATTTATCTCACCATTTATTACGTCGAAAGGAGGCCATTGGAGGAGGGTTCGACTACAGCGAATGAACGATAGTCGGTTCACTTCGGGTAGACATTATGAGAGAGATGGAACTCTGCAATCCAACCATTGAGGCCTCGGCTTTGAAGTGGTTCTTCTGGACCCGGTCTACTGGCGCTCTCCGCCTCAAGATGGTGATGAGATTCGAGGCTTTTTGAGGAATCTTTCGAGCTGTCTGTGCTAGGCCTAAGAACAATACAGGATTCTTCAGTCTTTTTGTGCTCAAAGTCTTGACTACGACCCCCAAGGGTAGATGCCCTCAAGTGCTCATTTTGCTCGACCATTCGAAAACGCTCCCTATCACAAAGTCGTCAAAACAATAGCTCCGTTCGGGAGTATTATTCATTAGTCTCAAAGCCTATTTTTATCATTTGTATTTGCGCACACATGAACACCAGAGCTGACAAACAAGCACAGCTAGAGAGATATGTGTACACATGATCACTGAGATAACAGGCAACATGGGGCAGTAATTGCTGTATTTCGCCTGTTGTCCTGTACCTCGTTAACGTGACTACAACAGAGGTTCGCAGAAATGGGCGCCAGGTATCAACAGCAATTAGCAAGATGGCCACAATCAGACCAACCTGGGTGGTCCCAATACTAACACTATTATTATTACTGCTACTACTACTACTATTAATAGCAATAATAATAATAATAATAATGATAAAAAGAAGAAGAAGAATGATAATAACAACAATCATAATAATAAGCATAATAAGAGTATATCTGGCCGTCTGTGTCGTCTCAACAGGTAAGGGCTAAAGTGGTGAACATACAAGAAAGCAAGAAGAGCCAAAGAAAGAGAGATTCTGGACGACGATAAAGAAAAAGCAGATGCTGCCCAACCAACCTCATTAGCTCGGGCTATTTGCAGCTGTACAAAGGTTGGGACAGATTCAGCATCTGTGCCTCTCATCGCCTTCTCGGACAATCCATTGTAGACTGAGCCGAAGTCTCACGATAAGAGGACTTCTTTAAGAGTGAACAATGAGGTCTGCCTTTAGAGACAATAAGGCAATGAAGAGGAAGCCCATTTAAGAGCAGGCCCTCAAAATGTCTACCATAGTAGGAGAACCTTGGCAACGAATATTGGATGATAAAACAACTTTCCGCAAGGCCTGAGTCATTGCCTCTTGGGTGGCTTTAGGAAAGAGCAAACAAATTCGGACAGGATGGGCAAATACATTTTACACCTCCCTTAATTCTATTGCCTCTGGCTCTGTTAGAAATACTTCAAATTGACCAGATATGTCAGATTACGCAACCCCAGTCTGGCTTTTCCTTGAAGGGTTAAACGTTAATGATCCTTGATCGAAAGGTTAGGACTAATGGTTTCGTAACTTG